AACAAACAAACAAACAAATAAATAAATAAATAAATGTAAATAAGTATTACTGTATAGCAGCTGACCATCAGAAATTATGTGTTCCTGGTAAAATGTGTTCTTCAGTTGCTGGAAACACTGTTGATGTTGCCGTATCTGCAATTGATTGAATAAAACACCTTCCTGAATCTCTTTCAATCCCACCAAATACCTACTATCCTTGGTGCACCTTTCCTCTTTCCAAAATATGTTCCATCTACTGCAATAACGATATTGCTTCAACTTTTTCAATTGGATTGCATGATAGATCTTCTTTGCATTGTATCCTGCAGTTCCTGGCCAATAAAATGTTGCTCTTACCTATTGCAATTCCAGCTTCAGTAGCTGCTTCTTGCTGCAGCATATTTTTGATCCGCGTATAAATAAAAAGTGTCACTTGAACAACATCCAATGTGGAGGAATTTAAAAAAAAAACAAAAAAAACTTTCTATTACAGATGTTATTTCTTGAGATGGATTAAAATTCCAAATGTATTTGTCAACTGTAATATCCTTTTTGTTCAATCCACATTGACACTTACATTTTGGGCATTAAAATTGATTTGCCAATCATTCCAAAGAATGCAATTTACCAATTTCTTTAGCCTTTTGCTTAGCGTCCACTCTTCATTTAAAACTTCTACATCGGTCAGTACTTAGCAGACTAGTGACAGATTTTCTCAGTATTTTTTTAAAATTAGCAATGATTTAATTTTTCAAAATTATGTTTTCAAAAATGAGTAGGAAGGGGGTTAAACTATAATTGCTTGGGCTTCAAGCCTTGGATTTCAAGATCATGATTAAAAAAAGTAGAAAAATGTATTATGTCCAGAAAATTATGTTTATTCAAATTTTGTTTTAGAATTCATTGATATAAAATTATGAATAAAAAACTTTTTCACATTTATTTCTTTATAAAATAATAAATAATAAATCTTTATAAAAAGCAAATAATTTTTTATAATCTTTTAAATAAACATTGCCATGAGAGTGAATGTAGTTAAAATAATAGGGGTGTCAATGGAAAAACTGTCCTTTTGAAACACCATTTTAATTTTTGTGGGCACAAAGGCCCATATTTTCCAACTTTCTTTCTCATTTTGCATCAGGACACTTGCAAAATGGTGTGGCAATCAGCAGGATAAAAAGAAAGGATTCACTCTCTCTTCCTTTTTTTGCTCTTTTTAAAATTCATTTAATTTGAATGCTTTCCTCCTGCTACAAGCTGGTAATTAGCCACAACCTCATCCATTACAATCCTGTAACACCAATTCACTAGAAGTTCATGGGACCCAAAAACATAATCTGTAAAATGAATATTGATTGGAAATAAAATACAACTTGAAGCTGAGGTTTTGGTTTAAGAAAGTCAAGAACATGTTTGAGAATTTGTTTTTATAAACACAGAACTAAGTTGTATGTATTTGTGGTGAGAAAGATCTTTAACTCAAAGGAAATTCCACTATTCTATAGAATTTGTAAAAAATCTTTTTAATCTTTTACAAAATACATTATATAGAAAATATATTGTCTATAGCTTTATAGAATAAAGCTGTAAAAGATGATAATTTTCAAAACAAGAGGAAATAATTAAATGTTAATTAAAGAAAAGAATAAATGAAGAAAAGTTTCTGAATTCAGAAAGTAGTTATCTTTTTATATAAAAAATTATAATTATTCTATGGTAACTTTTATAACATGCTAAAGAATTTTTCTTTTTTTAACACTTATTGAATTTTTACCAATTTAAAAATATTGTGCAACAGTGTAATTGTTGATGACAACCCTATAACTCTATAAAGAAACTTAAAATCCTTTTCAGAATTCCGTATTGCATGGTTATTACATGTTTATGCAATGGAAGAAAATGAAGAGTAAAGTTGTTGAAGTCACAGTTAAATTAAAATGGTAAGTTTTGCAAAAAAAAGGATTTTAATTGCATAAACTTTGCTTTTTGATCCAGAAGACACTCTGGAATTTGAAAAAATATTTATTACAAGATGCTGTTGTCCTCTTTTTTTTTTTTTTTTTAATTATGAGTCAACAATTCTTCATTTTGGGGAGTCACCCATAAAAATAAATAAATAAAATGTAAAATCAGCCACAAGTCTTTAGTTAGACCAAGAATCATTTGTCAACTACATCAGCAGAATTTGAACTGACTTTTCAAATAGTTTGAGAAATGAATCAAGTATAATTTTAATTTTCTTCCTTGCTTATTGCCTAATTTGCACCCCCACCTTTTTTATTTTTTTAATTTTTGTTCATGATGTGTGGGAATGTGCTGATTAAATCCATTATATATTGCAAAAAAAAAAAAATAATTTGATTCGACAACATTGTAAAATTTTCAAGTTTCTTTATATTTAAAGTAAGATTAAAATCTTTGCTACATTTCAGTATTCAGCAAATATCAATTTGTTCATCTGTCATAGCATAACTGAAAAACAGGTAGAGTTTTAGCAACCAAATTTTCTGTGCTTACTAATGGGATTGTGGGGGTTGGCACAGAATGTTGGTTTTCACATTAAAAATGAATGAATTCTGAGCAGGTATTGTTTTGGATGGTTCTTTTTATAAATACAAATTGTATCCTTCTTGTATGACAGTTCATAATTTTTGGTATGTTGGAACCAAGAGCAATAGTGAGATTCCTACTTCTTTGTAGCAAGCAGTCCTCCTGATCATTTCATTGATGGTTAGAGGTGTGAACCAGCCTGTCCCACTTTCTAGTGAAAGGATAGAGAGAGCTGATCGTGAAGCCCTTTTTTCAAGGTAAAGGTAAGTAAGTGGTTAGGGAGTGTGGTGAGTGCATGTGGTATTGTCCCTTGCTTTAGTACAGGGTCTTTGATCTTTTTGTTTCACTTATCCAAGTATCTGATTTTAGAAACTAAGCTGATTGATTTATCCCATAACCATGTTTAAATGTCCTAGTGATGAAGTAAATAGAAACTTTCCTTTGTTTGTTCCAACTCTGCACAAGACTGACTTGAGCTTGACCATGAAAACAATACTTATACTTACCTACCCTAACTTCTGAAACTGCAAGAGAATGAACATACCGAAGAGACATAAAGAACTTTGTTTCACTACATTCACTATAAAAAGAATAAACATCCATAGCAGAAAGTCAAGTTTTTGTATGCTTCTTCTTGTTTACATATATTGAACACACACCTTCACCTAAAATACACACAACCTTTCAACCTTGTAAATTCCATAAGTAGTTAATACTTTTCAGAGGCTTTAATATTTTTATTTTATTTGTTAAATGTAGCCTACTACTACAATACAGATAAATCAAGAGTAAAACAATGGTTTATTGAAGCATAAATATTCAATACAAATATATTTGATTTTTAATTTGATAAATTATTTGAACTAATATACTCATTATTTATATATGTAATATTGATTGAACTCACAACCACTGTCACCAAATTCATAAACCAATGCATGGTTAGAGGGAGGGTAAATCATCCAGCCAAGATCTAAAATGGCAAAACAACAAAAAAAATTTCCCACCTGGAAAGGCTTGCCAGTATAGCAAAAAAGTGCTCAATAAAGTGAAACTAGTTCTACGGTTGAAGCCTGTGGGTTTGGTTTACTTGTCCAATTGAACTCGCCTGGTGGTATATAGGGTATTCATTTTATTACAAGTCACTGGCTACCTGATGATTGTGTGAAAGCACATGAAACTAATAGTAATGGCCAGTCACTGCTAACCTGGTTATTTGAATTAATATTCAAAAGCTCTACCATTTCTTGTGGCATGGAACACTTTTATGCCAGAAGGCTGTTTTGGGGCAAACTCTATTCAGAGCTGCTCATTTAAACCCTGGATTAAATAGTACACATATGTAAAACTATAATGCTGGTTTATGTGTGCTCAAGTTAACCAAATTTATAGCTAACAGCTGTCATTTAAAGGTTGATTTTAGATTTATAGAAACGAATGAATCTTATTTAGATAAACGTGCTAAACACTCATTCCATCCTAACTCAGGAACAAAAATCAGCTCCAAGATAATGTATTTTATGTGTAACTGTCAGCATTCATGAATACTATTAAATAATTTGATAAAAAATTCTGAGATTATTATGATTATTTTAAATGTAATAAAAATTTTGATTTTTTTTCCTGCACTTTTACTACACATCTTTGAAGAAATTTACATAAGTTGAAAAAAACCTTCATCAAAATATAAAACAATTTGTAATTGCTATTAGGTCCTCTGATAATGATCCAAAAGAGCTTCAATTATTGTACTCAAGTGCCAGACAGCACCTCCTTATTATTATAAAAAATGAGCAGTCGGTTTAGGGTATATGCCAAAGGCAAAACTGACATGATTTTCTGCCTATTCTTATCCACACTTAGGGTTCAATATTAGCAAAAAGAAAAAAAAGAGCCCTGCTGTGCCCCAATACACCAAAGTGAGAAGGTGTACCAAGAAGTAACAGACAAAAACAAGTGTTTTATAACTGGAATAAACAAACATAAACATAACACTGTTATAATAACTATAACAGTAAGAGAAAGTGCCTAAAAATTTGCACTAATCCCACTAAAAAGGTTATCAAATAACTTTGTACAATTTTTATAAAAATAGTCTTGGAAAAGATGATTATTCATTGAAAGAAATCTAAGTTCTTTTTAAAAGAAATGCACAGAATTAACAATAGTGGACATCTAACAATATTCTTAATTAAATAATGTGGTTTCTCTGGAAACTGAGGAGGTTGTCATTTTTCTTTTTTCAAAGAAAAGTTGCTAATGACAACATACACACCCAAATCAAATTCAACTTTCCTTCCAGACTTATTTGGACCATTATATATTATAATAATCATTTAATTTTGCCAATTGTCGGAAGAAGAATCTTTATAATAAATTACCAATGTGACCCGGCTGATTGAAATGGTTGGTGAGGGGGTTGATGTGTTACTCAGCCTCGTTTTGAAATATAGCGCCATTCACTAATGGCGGCCAGAGGAAAGAAGAAATCTGTTAGTGCCACTGTGGATCACTTCTGTTCGATAACAGGTAAGATACAACAATTATAAAATAGATCCTTAACTTTATAGACCAGTAGTCTTCCTTTATTTCACAAATTGTAGCATATTATTTTGATTATCTCTTATTTATCAACTCGCGAGCTACAAACGAATGGCTTTTTCTGTTTGAGTTATCTTTTCAGTTTTCATTCATTATATTTTTTTATTGCCTTAGTCCCCTTCATTTATTGTTTTGGGGGTCTTTCAAGAATTCGAAAGCAATTATTCTCTTTGAATATTTGCACTTTGAAGTGTAGATGTGTTTTGATAACTGAAGCAATTAGCAAATTGTACATTTCAAAAACTTCCTTTTATGATCTCTATTCCTAAAATAAACAGTTTCACACGAGAGGTTGAATTTCAAAATATTTAGCCCTAAAACTTTTTTGGCGCTTCCTCCGTTTATTGACTGCACCAAATCTTTAGATGTGAATCAGATTCATTTTTTTACCCTCAAAAACTGATTCTATTCATTGCGAATAAAATGTTTACTTTTTTCCATTTATGACATACACTCAAAAATTAAAAGTAAAACGATATTTTACAAATGTGCAACAGAAAGATAATCCTTAAAAAAAAAAACAATTGCATGTGCTTGGTTGTCAGTCATTTACAGCTAAAATTACTGTAATTTAATTAATACCTTATTTAATATATTCTTTTAAAATATTGATTAGTAGAATATTCTCTGAAAAATCCTGACCGGCTCGATTTATTTTTAATTTTATTTTTAACTAAAGGTTTTTATATTTACTAAAACGTCTTTAACGAAGAAATAATGGCCGCTATGTTAGTTCTCTTGATTATTTCTTCTGGATCATATTTATTTCTAATGTCCACTGTTACTGTCTTTAAATTTATTGTCGAGTTTGTCCTGTTATATATTTGATATGCGATCTTAACGACCAGTTGAAGTTAAACTGTCATCATCATCGAACAATTACAAGCACTGTATTTCATTAAAAAGTCTAAAAAAGGTCAATATAAGTTTCTTTTTAATGATTCCTTAAAACTGTTTTGTAATTGATCCAATTCTCTTTATTCTGCATAGTCGATGCAGAAGCCCATCTCAACCCAATAGTAGCAGTAACATAAACATTCTCATCCAGATACCATAACCATTATTATGCAATCTTTCATAGATTATTGTTCTTAAAATTTTGTAAAGCAGTCTCTGGTATGTAATGTTTTCTTAAAGCATAAACATGTCCAGAAGTTGGAATTTATAAATGACCAGGTTTAATTTTAACCTGTTATTAAATAACTTTAGAAAAAAATGGATTGGACTTGGAGTTATTGAAAATGAAAATATTCTTTAAAAATTATCAGCTCTTTAAAGTCTAAATCTCTAACTCTGGCAAATCTTTCTAAATTATTCATGAATCTTATTAAAGAATTTGGTAATTTCAATGAAACATTTCTTTTTGTAGTAATTCTCTTGTTTGTAGTCATCCATCGAAGACTGTTTCTCTTCCTCAAAAAATGGTTTTCTTTCCATGTCAAGTTTTTTACCGAATTGATCCATCAAATGGACAGGAACTTTGTAAATGTATTGTCATGATTCGAAACATTGTACTAAAAAATAATGTTATCAAAATTATCGTGAATCTATAGTTCATTGCAAATATTTCATGTCACTTAGTTTTTTTAATTATTTTTTTTTCTTATTTAAGAAGAATGAAAAAAAAGCAATTTCTTGTTTATTTTTGATTTTTGATTTTCCCTACACACTTGAGAGAAAGAGGGATTTTTTTAATTTTGTGTGCGTGTATACGCACACCGTACACGTGTGAGTTTATTTATAAAAGGTGGTTCAGATGCCCCCCCCCAATTGCTAAGCTTGTTGAGAAAGTTTGCATTGCACCAATCTTCACAAATGAAGCCGTGTTTTGAAAATTAGAAATTCTGTTCACTAAGACTAATTTTTATAAATAATATTTTAAACATCCTGGCATATTGTAGTTATGGTACAGGATCACACAAATTTTGTTAAACAAGCTTACTAACTCAGACTTTGTGGTAGAAGCTCCTTGTACCTTGTATCTATGTTGATTTTGTTCTGGTGTTGCATAGTAAGAATGAATGTAATTGCACTCAGACACAACGATGAGAAGGAAAAATGTGACTATTTAGTGACTTTTTTAGACTAATCAATCAAAAATTCATTTGCAATACCACTTGGTAAAAGCAAAATTTTTGTATTTCTTGTGTCTCTCCACGAACAAAAACGTATCTTTTTTAATATAATTAGACGGTAATTTGTTTTAGTTTCTCTGTACAGGTAATTTTGAGTTGAACATTTATCAATAAAAAAGTGTTTAATTATAATGTATCAACTGCATTCATTGCTTAAAAGCCTAACACTACATCTCAAAGTACAAATATTTAAAGAGAAGGATGTGTAATTCTTTAAGGAAATCAAAAACAGTGAGTAAAAATAATGAAACTTGAAAAGACTCATTTGTCTTTTAGTTTTAATGGATAAATAACCAAACCAGAATTTGGTGAAATATGTTGATAGGTTTCCTTATTTCTGCTATCTGTTATGTTCTTATGGTAACTGAGACTGTCCAGGAAATCATTCTGGTATTTTTTTTTTCAATGACTTCATAAATATACGATATTTCCTGCTCCCAAATAGGATCATAAAAAATTACCATAAAAACATTACTGCTTTTTCATTTTAGAAATTAAAGGAAATGTCTGGAATTAAAGTATATTCAGTGTCTATAATTAGTTTAAAAAATATAGTGATTTATTATGAGAATAATGAACAGCAACATTTTAATATATTAATAAACTTTTGATTTTTTTTTTTTTTTTATTAAACTTCTTAATTTTTCAATATACATTGTATAAATGTATACACCCTTTAATTAACATTTCTTTAAAATACAAGTTCATTTGTGAAAAATAACTTGTTGAACATTGTCTTAAAGTGAAATATGAGGAAACTGGTTTGTTATGAAAAACTGGTGTTTCATTGAAATGTAAACTTTGGATTTTGAGGCTGCATATAAAGCTCTGAAAATGGACTTTGTACAACCTCTTGGGTAAACACAAGCAACATATGCCTTGCTGAAGGTTCATTTTCTTTGCAAATTGCTGTATAAATAAATTATATTTTTTCAAAAATAGTCAGAAATAAAATCACAAAACTTGAGAATCATGATTCCTCATACAAAAGGTTGGTTTTATTGTTATTAGAGTTAATTAAAATTTGAAACATTTTTTTTTTTTTATCTTTGACCAGATTTGCTGATGAAGTGAAAGAAAAAGTTTTAACTGAAAAACATGTGATAATGTTGAAACCGAAATCTAAGGATAGGGAGAGGTGATAGAAAAATATGTTAACTTTCTATTAGCTTAATCATAAAGATGGTCTTGTGTGTAGAAATCAAGTTGGACTGTTTGGAAAAGTTAATGAAAAATCTTGATTGCAATATAATTTAATAATAAAAAAAAGAAACACTGATTTAATCATTGGTGATTTACATTGTTTATATTTGCTTTTTATTGCATCTTTATTAAAAAGAAAAATCTTAAGTATTACAACCATATTAGTTGGTTTCACTTTTTTAAAAACATTTTTGAAATCATAATTATTTTAAAGAAAAAAAACTTTTTTTTATTTATTTTTCTTAATTTTAATTTCTTAAAACTGGAAATGAACTACACAATAACAACTTTGTTTAGTATTGTGGATCAAATGCATGATATTTAAGAAACAATGCCCAGTTCATGTAATATAATTTGATAAATTTGGAGGAATTTTTTTTTCTTTTTTATAACAGAACAAATCTTACCTTTTTGTTCCTTTTAAAATTTTAGTTTTATTAGTTTAGTATTTTCTTAAATTTTGTAGCAGTGTATTACCTCCAGATGAAGTTATGTTGGGCAAGCATTTTGTTAATGTTATAAATGATGTTTAAATGATTTTGGAAACTTTTGTATCTATTGGTTGGATCTTAAAATCTTATTAGCTGTCTTTATAATTTAATTGTTAGCAATAAGTGCAACATTTTGCTTTTGAATACCAATTTCTATTACAATTTAAAAATTATAGTCACTGGAATTATTACAAAGCAATGCTGTAATTCTTTTGAATATCAGAGACTTAAGACTTTGGTCATATGACTATTTTACAAGTAAATAGTTGGTTATTATCTTGTAAAGATTTTCTATGTTTATACATCTTTAATATACTGTAATCAGTTCTATAAATCTTTAATGACTTGCTACAGATTAGTAGTGTTAATGCTCTTTTTTAACTTGTCTTTTGAACTTTTTAAACCCCAATTTTGGTTAGTATTTCAGTCTTCAATATTTAGTCAGTACTGACCTAGGGCAGTAATGCTTAACTTTGAATATTAGTTCCAATGTTAACAACTTAATTACTGGTCACAGGTAAACTATCATAGTATCTCCATGAAATATTTTGATTTATAAACTTTCAAAAATGAGGATTGATTGATAAGTAAAGTCTCCAATCATATCAAATAAGTTTTAGATTAGATAGGATAATGAAGCTGGTATTAAAATAAAGTAAATTATTTTTTACAAAACGACATTTTTGCTTTCCCCTGATATAGTAATCATTTAGTGTTACACTGTTTTTTTTTTTTTTACACTTATTGTATCCACTTTTTCATTCTGTCTATGGAGAAATTTTCTGGTCTACTTTTGATTCAGTTATGAACAGCAACTTTGACTTTGGGTGAAAAATTTTGACTTTCAATGCTACTTCTCAATTTTGGGAATAATCAGATATTTTATGATGTCAAATTGGGCTGTACAGATGGTAGACAACAATTATGAAAGTCAGTCTTTTTATTATTTGCACCATTTCTTGAGTATAATGTAGCCTTGAATTATCCTGATGCAACCAAAAGAAAAAGGTACTTTCTAGTTTTATTCTGTGAATGCATTATTTGAGTGTTTGCAACATTTCATTGCTTTTAGACATTTAAATTTTGATTGACACACAATTTTTAGTGTCAAAAATCCTATCACTGATAACTGCTTTATGCATATCTTGAGTAACTGCTTTTCTTTAGTGTCATCACACATCAAACTGACAATCAACATGTTTAATCAGGACTTCATGTACTGCTGATTATATGTTGAAACATGTTTCAATCTCCACTATTGATGGCACCACTTGATAGGAGACCTTACTTATCAATTAACCTTTGACCAAGAAAAAAGTCGAGATCTTATTTGTAAGATATCATGTCTTGTCAGTCACAAGTTGCAATTGTTGTTTCCTTTCAGGTGTGACAACAGATGTTGGTGAACAAATGATTGAGGCATGCAATGGAGATCTCCAATTGGCTGTCGAGATGCACATGGACGGTAACCCTGATAAAATGCTTTCAGGCAAAGAGCCAAAGGCCACAAGTACAAACTCTAAAGAGTAAATATTTATATAATCATTTAATATTTACTAACCTTCAAGATGCAAGTATAAAAATCATTTTGATTTAGAAGAGAACAAGAAATTTCCTTCATTTAATCATGTTTAGATTAAAATTTCAATGCTTAACCCCTGCAACACTAATATTTGGATCCCCCATTCGCCAACCTCTCCTATAGGCTAGCAACTTTGGTACCTATTAACATATTAGTAAATTTTCTCTAGCTACACATTTACTCAGCTGGATAGGAAAGAAGGATATAGGGACACATTTCAAACTTTGTCTTTCATTTTTAAATGAAAAGGACATTTTATTTTATCCCCCTTTTTTTTTTTAAATTTATTTCTTAAACTTTAAAATAAGCAGGAAATTATGCCACATCAGATGATTTGATTGGAAATATTTATGGAACAAGTGAGGTGAATGTTTTTTTTTGGGGGGGGGGTATCCACTATTAATTTTTATTACGATAGCGTAAAAATATCTTCAACTTACACTGTGTAACATGATTTTTGTCAATGGGTAGCAACTTTTATCTACTATTTGCTTATGCCTAGAAAGTATAAAAAATAGCTAATATTTCCTTCAAATTTTGCTTTTGTGGCCAGGATAATATTTCTGAAATTTACCTATTCCTATTAGGAAAACTGGCGAATGTTCACATTCTTGTTTTGCGCAAAGTGGGAACAAAATCTGATTCAAAAGTCGCATTTATTCATTCTAAGATTATACACAAAATTTAGAAGTGAGTAGTTTTTCACAATTTACGCTTATACTGTAAATTACTTTCACGAATCAACCCTTAGATGTAGTTTACCATCATGTTTTCACTATACAATCCTTGCAGCAGCGTTCAAGGTCTAGCATATGCTGGTGAAAGTGCTCACTTTGCTCCTCTGAATACGCCCCCATGTTCTACATGAATTTATCAAAATGAGCATCAAGGATATATACTTTGAGGGACATACTGCAGCCCATTTTGCTGTAGTTCTCCAAGATCTCAACAAGCTCCACATAGTTTTCAGCCTTGTGATTCCTCAAGAAGCTCTGAACCACTGCGACAAGGCTGTTCCACATTGCTTTCTCTGCCCTAGTGAGTTTCTTGGGGAATTTCTTGCACTCTATGATCATTTTTTATTTGTAATTTGACAAAGCTTAGGGAAGAAGTCTTGAAAGTACTTGAAGGCTGCAGATTCCTTATCTACAGCTGTGACAAATTGTGTTCTCTGTTGTCAGTCCCACTTATGGTAGTATCCCTGCTGTCCCCAAAGCAAAGATAACATGAAAAATTGATTTAAATGATTGAAATTTTAGTTGCCAAAAGAGAACAATCTTGTTGTCTATTATAATAGGTGATTGTTCACATCTGAGTATTCCTGTATCCATTCCCCATTGCAGACACTTACTCAGGTGCATTTAACACTCACAGATCCTACCTGTGGCTTATATTGCAACTATGCTGAGTGAACCATAGTTACAGTTTCTGGGAGAGAGTGCATCATCTGGCATGATCAATAATTTAAATGAGATCAAACTTTTGGTCATGATGACTTGAAACTTTGTGCTAGCATAAACATTGACAAATAATTCTGTTTACTCAATTCACTTACAAGGATTGGGTCAACCTGTGGTATGGCTTTCAGGCATTTTCAGTTGTGCAGCACTCTGATTGCTTCCTCAGGCCAATAGCATCAAGAAATCATTTTCCTGACAACCAAAGACTTATGGTCGGAAAGTGAACATGCTAACCATTCAACCACATGTCCATCATTTTATATTATTGAGGTGAAAACTGCTTTGTATAGCATCAATTGAAAAATTATATTATTCAAATGTTTTATTAATCAAAAATGTTTGTTTTATAAAGATTGTTATTTATAATTGATTTGCAAAATCCACTGTTAAATATAAAGATTTTATATTTGTCTAATCATTGTCTGAAATGTAGATTCATATACTTCAGATAAACACTTTTGACCCAATATCACTTTAATTTAAAGTAATAAACACAAAACTGATTTGAGTGCAAATCAAATTTCTTTGACTTCTGTGGAGGAGACATTTACTTGCAAGGAAAGATTTTATTTTATCCACTTCACTGTTTACAAAGTACATTTTTATTTACATTTAAATTCTCAATTTCAATTTGCATTTACAAACTTTTTTTTTAATGATTTAATTAAAAAAAATAAAAACTTGGTACCATATAACTTTTTAAATAAGAACTTATTTTAGGTAGATATGCATTTACAACCAGTATTTTCTATCTCAGTTTTGTAATGTTAACAAACACTTGTTGCCACTTTTGTGATGTCAACAAATAATCGTCACTTTCGTAATTCTCATTGTAGTAGGAACTTTGTAATCGCAGTATGCCATTGAACAGTTCTGGTGTCAGACACTTTGAAATATCACTCACACTAACAGTATTTGCTCAATAATACTTGCTCATATAGTAGCCACCAAGTAGTAATAGAGGATAAATTAGGAATAACGATCTGAATAGTAATAGAGGATAGACTAGGAATAGCGATCAATTAGACACAGCTATCTCTCATATATACATTTCCTATATAGTCATATGGTTTACTTAATTCAATAATGGGATTGCCTGCGTTTACTCACTGGCTATCTATGTTCAAACTCAAATGTCGGCAGCAACACTTTATTCCTATATAGCACTCAGTAAAAACATTGTTTTGAGCTGTCAGTTTCTTTTATTTGAGCATCATCTATCACCATGACATTATTTTCATCTGTAGATTTATTCATTGACATCAAAGCTTGCTGACTTGACACCTGAAGACATTTTTTCACCTTCCAGATTTATTGGACATATTCAAAAGTTATATCAGTTTTTGTTCCTTGCTTTATCAGTCTAATATTATCTAATATTTGCATGAATGTGATAGATAGTTTAACAGTGACTAACAATATGTCCAATTTTTATAGCAATGGTAGAATTTTCTACTTGGATCATTATTATGGTTGCTCTATATAAAGTTTCAATGGACTATTCATCATATTATTATTTCAAATTGTCCAATATATCAACAGCATTTGAATGTCTTTATTTTATCAGTTACTTCTGGCTCCCTCTTATATGCTTGACATTTTCATTTTCACTGGATTGATCAACACTTTGTAATGGGCACTTCTACACACTCACACATATGCCTTCCATATCTAATGAAAACAACAGGACCATCCTGACAAGTCCATTCTGGGTTATATCCAATTTCTTTGTCCCCAGTTACACAATTATATAGTGTAGGATGTAAGTGTTGCATAGTTTTAATTTTTATCAGTTGATTCAGTTTTAGGGAATGATTGTCTTGAATATAATCACATAACTTGTGGACCAACTCTGTGTTATTTCACAATATAGACTGTGATGTTTCACTTTCTATTGCATTTCTGTCAATATCTGAGTATGGCTTTCTAATAGGCCATTGCTTCGTGATGAATATGCCCATGCAGTGATCTCTGATGTGGAAAGCACTAATACATAAAAAAGAAAGAAAAAAAAAATGGGGAACAGATACATGCTTAAAAAATATGTTATGCTTATTGTCTTCCATGATGTCTAAATTATGCGAAAAGTTACAAAATGACAGCGTATGTTTGCAAAAATTGAAGAACAACGAAAAGAATAAAAGTTGAAGAAAAAAAATGAATACATTTTATAACCACTGAAATAGGGCCCGATCTTTAGATTTAGTAAACAAATAATTAAAAACACTGATTACATTTCAATTTTTTATAAACCATGCATCAAAATTAAGCAAAAACATATATCCAGTTCATTTTTTCTTTTGTTATTAATAAATGTATGCAGATTCATTTTTTAAAAGGAAATGTAAATAAATTTTCAATTTAATCCCCAAATCTCAAGAATTAGAGAAAAATTTTTTCTGAAAGACAACTTCAAACATTATCTTACACTCACCAAATTGATGAGAGTCTCTTTTTTTCTTTAAGATCAGACTATTTTGATATGTGTAGGGAGACACAATTTGAAGCACAGCAAGTTTTAAAAACACTATTATGAAATTGTCAACTTTGAAAATGTATCACCCACCATTGAAATAGTGACATAGCTTAAAAAGATGTGGATTAAAAACTAATCATCACACACAAGAAAGAATTGTATCTGTAGAAAGAGATTTAACTTTTGTTTATATACTAATTTTAGTGAAATAGCCATGAAAATAAATGAAATATCAGCAGTTGAAATTGAAGGAAATTTCACTATTTTGAAACGTTTTTGCAGTGTAAACTAGAGCAGTTTGGGAAATCTAATAGGATTTTGTGGTTTCATAGAGCAATGTTTAATTATTAAAATTTAAAAAGAATGTCTTGTCATTTCTCTTCCCTATGACGACCTTTTCTGAATTGTTTGTTGAATTTGCGTAACTTATTTTTTTCTTTCTTTTCAGCGGAGAGGAAGATGTTCGAGCTCCCATCCCACAGAAAAGAGAAATTCTTGTAGATGATGCTCCTGTCTTTGGTCAGTAACTTCATCGATTTTTATTTATTTTATACATATGAATCTTTAATGATTTTTATTCTTTCAATGAAACTTAAATATTTATTATTTGACTTTTTCTTCCTTTCAGGTAAGTGAAAGAAATTTCTTATTCAAAATTTTTTTGGAAAATTTATCTGAGGCAAATAATGAATAACAAGATTTTTTTCAAGATGAAAACTTAAAAAATATTTGAATCTTTAATAATCTGCCAGATGCTATAAAGATTTAACTTTTTTTATTAGAGAAACTGGGTATCACATATTTTTTGAATGAATAAATTATCTATAAAAATCTAACTTCCAGTTTGTGAAAAGCAAAGTAAATGTGAATATTGTATAAATTATTTGTTGAACTGCACTAATATGGCACGAGGCTCTATAAAAGGAGCTGATTATATAATTTCAAAATGATTGGTCAACTGCAGGTACATTTAGAACTTGGGAACTTGCAAAAATCTACACATGAATGAATAGAGAAAAAAATTGGCAGAAAAATATGGCATTTTAAACGTTTTTAATCTTTAGAATCTGTAGAAAATAACTCCATTGAATGTCTTTGTGAGCATTGTTGGCAAATGTGTTGCCATAGCAACCCTATGAAAGTCAAAGTACTTACATTTATAGGGTTGCAGATTTTCTTTTTTGCTTTTGGTAAAATCCTTTTTTTTTTTTTTTTTCATTTTCACTTTCCCCACTTTTATTGTATATCATGGAAAATTGCAATTAAATTTACTATAATTATTATTAAAACAAGGAAAACAAAATTTAAAGTTTTATGACATGTAAAGAATTGGCAGATATTTTCAATAAAAATGAAAACAACTGATAATAAATTAAAATGACAAAACAAATTACACATAAAAGAAAAAATATCTTGTCATTTTATAGTTGAAATTGCTAGTTCTCTGCTAGCAGTTTCTTCTCTTGCACTTCTTACTTGTGGGACTCTCTTCTGACTTGAATTCCAGTCAACTTTGATTTTCAAAAATTTAAATTCAATGTCAGTTATCTTCTGTCTCCTCCATTCATGTTCTTTTATTCTCTCAGATTCTTTCACACTCAATAAATGCATTGCATCTTAATGACTTTACAGCCTTGCTTGGGGTGAAATGATTAAACAGAAAAGAAAAAATTAATCAGATTCCTTTAAAGACGAATATTGTGGCAATCCATTTTAGAAGAGGAGTTTTGAAAATGATGTTCCTAAGATATTTTGTAAATTTAAGATGACTCTATCCCTCTCTGTGTTTTCTCGTTCAGACTGAAGATGATCAGTTTTTAGGCCAAACGATGTTTTTGATAGACCAATATCCAGATAATTATTTCCATCTTCTGTCATGTTGTATACAATGCATGCAAGTAGTGACTTAGCTTTGCTGAGCTTAGAGGAGACTGTCATTAAATGAGTATAGTGTTCTCATTAATGAAATGCACATTTGAACAAAAATTATGTAGGATGAATGGTGTAGGTGATAGTCATTTGTCAATTTCAGAATCCTGTCTATAGCCAGACTATGGTTCTTTTTCTTGCTTAGAGGATCTTTCATAAAATTGCACATATGAGGAATGGTATTTGGTTGCATTAAAACAATGAATTCCTCCACCAGCACAGTGGCAGTTTCGCTAGTTACTTAGGCAGACTTCAAGTCATTTCAAGTATTACTGTTTTTGACTCAGATTTTGTATAAAAAAGAAGGAAAAAAAAAAAACTAACTTGATGAAAGCACTAGAGCTAAACATTATCAAATGCTGACTGACATGAGAATACTTTATCAACAAGATTTAAAACATATGGTTACTGTTAGTAAATGTATTTGACAACATCTCCCTATGAGTCTTTTCAAGATAAGCTGCTGAATCTGATACAAATGAAATATCAACTTTAATTACAGTCCTGATGCATGTTTGACTTAGGGTTTGATGGTAGCATTCTGTCATGGTTATAACATCAATAAGAATGATTCTGCATGAATACTTGCAATCACATTCAAAATTCTGTGCTCACTGCAGTCAGTTGTTTCATCTATGATACTGAAGGGTTCTTTGACAAGTGCACATTTTCAAAAATTAAGGACAAAATCATCCTGCATCTCTTTAAATCTCATGAAAATAGTAATTGTCTTCTATTTTAATGGAAATTACTTTTTGAAAGATTTTTATGCCAAATGGGTTTCTGATGTTAGTTGATCTTTCAATGGAAACATAATTTACAAAACAAAACTTTATCTTCTGCATAAAAATAATGAGAAAATTGTTCTACACTGGCTTTAAAACAGATTTTAGATACTGGAATCATTTTTCTTTTCTTGAGGAGAACAGATTCAGTTCTTGAAGCTGGGATCATAAGCGATTCACTACATTCATTGATCTTGGCAGTATGTTCTTCATATCAGAAAAATAAATGATTTAGATGTTGCAAAAAAAAAAATGAAACAATACTCTAAGTATGTTTTCAAAAATATTAGTTGCTGTGTTATTAAATGATTTTTTTTTTCTTAAATTTAAATTTTTACAATGATGTGTAGCTGTGTACAAAACACTGGATAGCTTGGTAGCAGATAAGTTGGTGTTGATGACTATAATTTATTGCTAAAGTGGACCTGGGAAGATGGAGGAATTAAGTAAAGGCTGTTAGCGTAGAAATTGGTGGATACAAAAATGAAAACAATTCAAGTTTAACAAATAATAAAACAAAGTGTTTAGAATGTTATAATTTGTGAAAGTATAATGTCTCTAGAGGAAGTGAATGTAAACTAATGAAAGTTCTTGTGAATAAATTTTTTTGTAAAGTGTTTTAATGAAATAAAGAGTTAAAGTGATTTGTTTTTTTATGTTAGAAACATGTAACACTTCCAACTTTTACAATTAAATCCATTACATTACCTGATTTATCTATCTTTCCATGTCCACTTCTTCCAGTATCTTTGACATTATAATAATATTTAAAAATAGATCTGCATAAAGCTAGCCATTTTGAAAATTGACCACTATAATTTTTTAAAACCTAATTAATGTGAAAAATTTTGTTCTTTCTTTTTCTTCAAGAGAGAGAAATATTTGAAAAACAAATTTTAATATAACTATACTTGTATGTTTATTAAGTTTTGAAAGAATAAATAAAAAGAATTTGAAAGAATATCAAATGATTAATTCATTATTTATTATTGAAGATTACATGAAAAACCAGATTCCGTTTCAGATTTGTGGTACCGTGTTTCAATTTTCTGTGATTACAGAAAATTGTTCTCCCCCTACACATAATTGTTTAAATCTAACCATTATTATCCTTAGTCACAGTGTTTGGTTATATTACTATGAGCTTATTTAGAAAATATTATTTTTTGTGTTTGGTTATTTTTTTTTTTTTGTCTCTCTCCATTTCCAGTTTCATTTTCTGCTCCCTTTCAAGAAATTCTGTCTTTTCATTCTTCAATGAGAATCCACTTTTCAGTAAATTACTTAAAATATGATTCAGTATGAAATTACCAGGATTATTTTTGGAGCTGATAAATTTACACATATCGAAATTCATGGTTATATGCAAATCAGTTTCAGAGAAAATTCACTTTCAAACATTTTTCACTCTAAAAATGTTTAATTTTTATTTAACTTTCTCAGTTAAATTTTTTATTATTCTTGGGTTATTGAATATACTAACCTTCTTCTGTTTGTAGTCCAAAAGATGATCACTGCTGATGCTACCATAGGTTTGTATATATGTGTTTATGACAGTTCTTTAAATCTTTTAGTCATGTGTTTTGTTTTTGTTTTGTTTTTTGTTTTTCTTTTTTTGTTTTGTGGGCTTCTGCCTCTTTGATTGCCTTTGTTATTATTGCTTTCTCTTCTGTAAATATTTTTCCCTTTTCTCTGGTGGAAATACCATTTGGATGGTTTTTATTTTTTTATGTCTTTGTTACTTGAAAACACTTTGACATTTTCAACATGTGTACATTATAAGGTAGATACAATTTGTGCACTTTCATTAGTGATTGTATAATTAAGCATTTATATAATTTCTGTTAATAAAAAGCACATACATATTTAGTGGTATACATAAGTAATGGACACTTTTTTTTTCTTTCTAAAATTATTTCTGTTTATATGGAGGCATAAAGAAATGTTTGTCTACAATTTAGTTTATTGACAAATACAACCGAAAGTAACAAGTCTTGGACATAACTCAATAAAAAAATATTTAATATTTAAAGGTACATCCACTAATATGACAATAATTGGAGGTAAAATGCACCTCTGCATAGAGTAATTAGAGATTAGTTTGGTTGATCTTTAAAATTGAGTGGTAAATTTTATCCTCAAAGAGTACCCTATACAAAATTTGACATTATATATCCAAAAAATGACATGCTGTTGTAAAATCAACCAACCTAACCTAATTTGTGGTAAGCATCTTGCAGAAATTAACCCCAATTTTCCCCCACACCTGACAAATCACTTTAAGATTGGTCAAATGTTGGGGATTCTTCTAATGAATTCTAATTTTAAGCTCTTTCCACAGATTTTCTATAAGACTCAGGTCAGGTGACTTGAAAACTCATTTTCTTTGCCTGGAACTACTCTTTAATTTTCATTTTGCTGTATGTTTGGAATCCTTATCTTGCTGAAAAATCACACTTCTCAGTATTGTGTGAAATTCCGCTGGTGAAAGCATGTTCTTTTTCGATGATGTGTAGTATTTCAGTAACACTGGAGGTAAAACAACTTCAGCAGTCATACTTCCATCATCTTGTTTAACTGTTGGGATGATATTTTGGGGTTCAGATGAAGTGTCTGTCTTTCTCCAGATGTGTTGAATTGTTTCAATCAAAGAGTTTGAATTTACTCTTGTCAAACCATAATATTTTGGCCCAGGATTAAGCCACTTCTTGAGATGGTGATAAGTGAATTGCTGATGTGTTTTCATCTACCTTGGCTACAGCAAAAATGTCTTTCTAAGAATCTGAGAATGTATTCTTTGTCTTTGTCATTCTGATAACATTTACATGTACCAACCAGATGTTCAATGTAAGATGTTGGTCATGATGTATATAGCCTGCTTTAATTGGTTAGCAGAAATTTGCAAATTAATAGTTTGAATAAAAGACCATTTCAAACATCATATTTTTTTTTTTTTTTTACTATGCTTCATTTATATTTTCACAATATCAAATAGCAAATATTTCTATTTATCAATAAATCTATGTATAAGCAAACATTTCTTTATTTTTCCTTATAGCCTAAGTATTTACCATATTCAGCTCAATTTTTAAGTCATTAACAATGATAGAAATTATTTTCATTATTTCTGTATATCACTGTGTATGTTTGTGTACACACACCCACACACACTTGCCTTTATCCTTGACTGATTTCTTGATCCCATTTCTTGTGTGCATGCATTTCACATAGAAAACTCATTTCAGATGGTGTTGATTTCAAAACACTCAAAAGTTCTTACAAGAAATTTGCTATTTACTTGAATCCAACCCAGAATATAAATACTGTTGGGGTTTTATTTAAAAAAAAAAATTTTTTTCATATATTCAATATACAAAAGCAGAATCACACAGTTCAATCCAAAACTCTATTTGACAGCCAATCAAACCTGAGAAAATTGAACACATTTACTTAATTGGTTAGTGATTTTAATTTTTATTTATTTATTTTTATTTTTTTACAGCCAAAAGTTACAGAATTTTAATTTCTCTGATTCAAATTTAAATAGAATTCTGTAAATGTTAAATTTATAGAATTATCTTAAAAAATTACTTTAAAATTCTCTCAAAGTTTGTGATTGTTCTAAAAATAATGAGTCACATAGAGCCTGAAGAAGTTCAACTAATTGATGTTTCTAATAGTTCCTTGCGGTGGGGGTTAAATTATTGACTAAAGAACTTGAAACTTTCGATGTACTTTTTGTTCAATTTATTTTTAAATTTTTAATTGACTTGTTTCTCTTTGTGCATGCAGGTAGATATTTCAGTTGATAAGGTTTGAATGGTAATGTAATTATTAGAAATAAAATTGTTATTTTAAAAATGTCAAAGAAAAAGTGCTGATGGTGAGAGATATTTTTATTTATTAAGGATAAATTTCTATCCCCTCCCCGCAAAAAAAAAACAAAAAAAAACTGATTGCAAAAGAGCTGAAAAAAAATTTATGTAAATTACCTTTTGCCAGCATTTCACTCATTGTGCTTTGTCATACATATTCATTTTTTTCCTTCTCAATGAAAAGAACAAATAATTAAAAAAAAAAAAAAAAAAAAAGAAATCCAATGTTGTTATTGGCTCATAAAAGTTTTAAAAAATTCTTGTTATTCAGCTCATTCAATATTAAGAGTGAATTTGTTTAAAAATAACCAAATTCACTTGAAAGTAGTATTTAGGAAATTTAGAAAAATATTAATGAAGTTAAATATATATAGCTTAAAAACCAAATAAAATTTGGGTATTAAAACATAATTATTTTTGTTTTGGTGATTACTTTTTCTTTTTTTATGTTTAATTTTTCTAGTCAAACTCTCAAGCCACATTTCTGTCATATTGTAAAACAATTTTTTATCCTTGTTGCATAAATTTATTGGACATCAAAATTTCAAACTAAATTACAAAATTCTAGAAATAAACTTTAATTTTAACAATGCTTTAGAATTTCTGATAAACACAAAATGTTAGTCTATATTTCTGAGATGAGGTATTATGTACACTATTTACATTATTCGGACTATTGTCCTCATCTGAAGAAGGCTGAAGTGTACAACGGCCGAAATGTAATAAATATGGTGACAAAGATTAGGACAATAGTCCGAATAATGTAAATAGTGTACAAAATGTTAGAATTAAGTGAATTGACCATCTTTGTTTATTTGGATTCTGATGTGAAACAAACTGTTATTAGACATGCTTTCTTATAGCAGATACAAATTGTCCTTTGCCAACATGATTCATTTAACATAAGAAATTTTCTTTTGAATTTGCAGTTTTTTGTAAAAGTAAGTCTGAAAAACCAAATGGTTGCAAAATAACTTTGCTTCTCTTGATAGAATTTTTTGTTAAAAAAAAAAAAAATTTTTTTTTTTTTTTTTTTTTTTTTTTTTTTAATGGAAAATTTTGATTTGTTTTACACTACTGGGTTGAATCCAGAAAATTTTCAGTTTAATCTGATCCAATTCATTTTTTTCTAATATAAAACTTTGTTTCTAATTTATTTGAGTTGAGAAGAAAAATAATGTTTCCATCAAGAAAAATTGAGCTATCAATGATCAAGTTTCACCATCAATATTAACAATAGATATAGCAGCTGGTTTTTATATATATATATATATATATATATATACACACACACACACACACACACACAAGGTGCCCTCAATATTTAATAATGTATTAATTAAATATTAATAGTTAATAATACATTACCATGATGCGAGACCTTGTATGGATGAAAATATGCCAAACAGATGGATTGGAAGGAGAGGGACAGCTGAATCCCCACCTAGATCACCAGATTTGAAACCCTTGGATTTCTTTTTGTTGGGGTTTCTAAAAGACAAAGTTTACAGCAGGAAACCTGAAACAATTGCTGAAATGAGAGTAGCAATTGAAGAAGAATGTGCTCAAATACCAAAGGAAATGATACTAGACGTTTGTAGGTCTATTTCTTCAAGATATGAAAAGTGTATTGAACAGAACGGCAACCAGTTTGAGCACTTGATGTGAACTCATCATTATATGAACATTCTGCCATTGTCTCAAGTTGCTTTTATCTTATTAAAGTTAATTTTCTATGTTTTTTTTTTTTTTTGTATATTTTACTCTCAAATTCTTTAAATGTGTATTCTTTCTCTTGTATTAATCTTATTTACAAGTCAAAGTACAGAAACTGAATAAGTTATAACAATTCAAAGAGTGCATACATTATTTTGGGACACTGTGTATAATAAATATATATATATATATATATATATATATATATATATATAAAATATATTATAATAATTATATTATAATAAAACCAATGTAGTATATAGGTTTACATGCCTGTTTCAAGAGTGTTTCTCACGTAATAACCCTAACACATATATCGAACAGACAACTACAACTCTCTCACATCATCTTACATACCATCTTAATGACGCTAGTGCCATAAAAAATCACCTTATGATAACACACTGTACCATTAATAACAGATTCAGATCCTCCAAAATAAGAAAAATTCTAATCAGCAATACCAAAATCTGCAAAAAACGCTTACAAATTCTCGGAGCCATTGCAATTAAAAACCAAAAACCCAACATAAATAAAATAGGATTTAATACTGGCACAAACATTTTAAATATATTTAGTAACTAATCCTCCAAATAATAAATACCAACTCCTTCCTAATTCACTAATGAACTAATCCAACAACACGTCCTGAATGCCCAAAATATTACCTATAAAAAGCAACTTACTTAAAACCAAAAACATACAGCCATGATGATGGTTGATGACAGCTGAAAGCACTTGGCAATACACCAAAGACTGGGGTATTTTTTCAACAATTTAGACCCCAATACAAAGAAACTTACAAGAAATCAAGAAAAAAAATTGAAAGGAAGATTATTAAACAAAAACGTTCCGTAGTCTTTAATGACATGCTGCGGGCATATATATATATATATATATATATATATATATAGAGTCTTAAGGTGTGCTATATTTATGGG